AGGGCAATAACCACCTTTATTTGCTCATTTCTAAGTTGTTTCTGATTTATAATTCTAAGTTTCTAATTTATGAGTAGATGTTCTTGGCAGCAGGAGGCTCTAAGGATCTCCTACCTCTGTCTGTGATGGATACATTCATCAGTTATTTTCCTGGATCTTGCTTATCGTTTTTTCAAGGCTGGAGGACAAGCACAAACCCAGGGAGACTTTTACTAGTTTAACTGACCTAGGATGAGGTTAATAGACATGCTCCAGTGTCAGCATGGATTCTTTTAGATCTGTCAGCGGATACATGAAGTGTGATTCAGCTGCAGAGTCTGGCAGCAGTGGATGCAATCACACAGCAGCGCTTGGATCCCTGCTTGGCGCGCTCCCAGAGCTGCGCTTTGGCAATCGCTCATCAGCCACAAGGAACGTTCTCCGTAGGCCTGGCTTGTCATTCAGCTTCTTGTCCCTCAAATCCAACCCAGAGATAAAGCCACAAGAGAAGACAGTGCAGCAGTCTGCCTTGCAGAGCATTAAACGTGCTGTTTTGTCATATTCGGTTGATGTTAATATCTTCTGAGATGTCCCTACCTTGCTGGATTGTTAGAACTGGAAGCTGTGTTAAATGAGAAGATGGGGCCTTCTCTGCCCCAGCAGTGAAGGGGTTTCTGCTCACCCAAGCCACCAGAAAAGGGGTATCTCCTGCTGTAGCAAAGCCACATTTTACATTAATTCTGAATTAAGCAAAAATAAGCTAGAGGTACTTAAGCAAGTACTGAGGAAATATAGTGGAAATGGTACACATAATATGTCACTCTTCTGAAAAGATGTGTATGAAGAAAGATTTTGATGAAGAGGTGACCTTTGAGAAGATACTCATATGAGGACAGTCACAGCCAATTTGACTGAATTTCCTCCTTAAACAGAGAAGCAAGAAGGCAAAAGCCTTTTTAGAGAGATAAATGAAGGCAAGCATCAAGGCTGGCATTTCTGGCAGACTAAAAAGAGTAGAACAATAAAATAAGAGACAATATTAGATTATATTACAAGTGCAGTTATACTTCTGAGAAAAAATATATGTACATTTGACATGATGGAGAACCAGAATCACTGGAAAGAGCACGAGAGAGCACAACGTTTGGATCAATAGGAAAGGAGGAAATGGAGAGGAACACGGGATCAAGGCAGATAAATGACCTGGGCCTAAGTGAAAATGATTTTACGTGTTATAACCAAGATAAATTGAGATATTGCAGGGAAAGAAACCACAGCTACACAGCGTCTAGGTCAGAAATGCATTGCTTACCAGGTATGAAAGCAACCTAAGCGATGGGAAGAAAGGTCCCAGAGATACGACTGGGAGGGAAATGCCAGTCATGGGAGCTGTGGAGTCGGTTCTCTGCGTGATGACAGCTCCAAGGCAGGGGGCCAAGGAGGCTGGCTGGAACTCTGACCTGGCCAGGAGGCAGCAGAGCTAAATATGCAACTCATAAATAATCACCAGCTATTTTGTAAGTATTAATTTGAAAAAGCAATGCATGAAAAATGACTGCAGGTAAGATTGTCCCAGGAGATTAACTGAGAATGACGGTGCCTGTCATTAGCACTAGGACAAGTCTGGGCTCATGAGTGTTTATGCTGCCTTTCCAACTTCTGTAAGATTACAAGGATAAAAGAAAAAACTGAATTTGGCCTGCATGATTTTGTCATCATCTCCCATTTAATTCATGCGTGCTATAATCTCCTTCATAAATACTATCACCCTTCACTGAAATGATTGAGAGTTCCTGTACTTAACTCAGTCACATCTCGAGCTGCTGCACTGGCTTATTAGAGCTCTTAACTCAAGGTGCACATTAGGACAATTGTTGGAAAAAACTCCACATCCATCAAAAAAAAACCCCAAACACTAAAGCAGCTCATGAGCTCGTATTTGCACCCTCCTTCTAAACTGTGTAATAGGAGACTACAGGATTTAGTGAAAGTGGTGGAACCTGTTCCTGCTTTTAACATTTTTGTTAATCTAAGCACAGTTTATTATAAGGTAATAGCCAAGTTTCAGTGTTGCCTTGGGAACTGGCAACCGCAGGCTCGGTTGTTACTTACCAAGGGGGGCAGGGAGGTATCTCCGCGTTAAGTGTGCAATGAAGTGTTAGTTTGTGTCGTAATCAACAGATCCAGGCGTTACCAACGGGACAGAGCCAGTCTGTAACACGGGCACTAATCTTAGAGAAAAAAGAAATGACCAAAAAGCCTCAAGTACAACAAGCACTGAATAACTTCATTCACGAGCGCGCAGCGGCTCCGGCTCCTGGAACACGCGGCGCTTCACGGGCCGCGAGCGGAGCCCCAGGGAACCCCCCCCGTTCCAGGCCTGCCCATGGTCGGTCAGCGGCGACCGAGCGCTCCCACCGCACGGTGCTCGGTACGAGACCCGGGCCCCGCAGCCCGTGGCGGGAGCGCGGCGCTGGGGGCCGGGGCCGGAGTGCGGTGCTCGGGGCCGGGACTGGGGCCGGGGCCGGACAGGCC